TTATATGTCATGTTGTTGTGGAGAATTTGAGCTTCAAAGTTGCACAAGTTACCGAATTTACTATGTTTAGCCCTAAATTGCCCATTCATCTAATAAAACATTAATTAGATGGATCATTTAATTCTTGGATGATATTATATTGACGTATATCTCTTTGTGTTATATCACTAGAACAAATAAAATTTTGGATCAAAAATTTGACATGCGTGAAAAAGAGGGCGTCCAGGATGAGAAGGAATATCTATTCATTACAAAAAAATTTTTTGATTATCATGTTTCACTTATTAAATTCCCTTTTTTATCTTATCTGTGGTATTCTGCAGTAAATTATAGTATTTCCGTTTTTAAACACACATTCCGTGATTTCTGCGGCATTCTGCGCTATGCAGAAAATCATCGTCCCTGGACATTCGTAATCGATTGTTGATCTTTTTTATATTGTGAAACAGGCGATTTTAATTTGAATTTAGAATAGAAATAGTCTCGTGACTGCGCACAAAAACTATTTTATGAAACACATCTTTTTTTTTACATTGACCTTTATTTACATTCTAATAAAAACGATCAAAACGATCAAATTGATTTCAGTATTAGTATGTTATATTAGAAACGAAAGTTTAAGGATTCCATGATCTATTTATGTCAGAATTGCAACCTTTATTATTATTATTTATTTTAATATTAATAAATCATTATTATACTGCAGGTAAAGACTTATTTTATATTCTCATTATACTTTAAAAAAAGAAATATTTATTTGATTACTTATATTCAAATTTTTCTAACACGGGATGAAGATCATATGAGTAGGTTGTATCATAATATAAAAAAAATGAAAAGAATTTTTTAAACAATAACAATTACTTGAACTGACATCATGATTTTATGGGGAGATAATATAAAGTAATGTAAACAATGTTTAAAATCTATTTCTTGTATAAATAGGTTATTTATATTTACATTTATGTTTATATTCACGTCCACCAATTTATTTAAAAAGGAAGATGACATATATATTATATAATAGATGATATAATTCACAATCCCACTAGTAATGAATATAAATCAACAATTTATGAACATTAGGCTGTATAATAAAAAACCTATCATGCATTAATGACGTTCAGATAAAAAGAATAATATATTAATATTTATTTAGAATTTTGCTTATAAACGTTTATGATTTTTTTATTTTGTATATATACAAATTGACCAAAAAAATTTGATTTTATGTGATAAATTTGTGATGATCAACAGCCAATGAAATATGAAATCAAATGTCCACTATGCTATCGTTGAGCCAATAAGAATTTGATAAAACTTGGCCATGATCAACAAAACTTTTAAAGAGTACGTGTTTGTTTATTATTTTTTAATTTTTTTTCCCTTTTTCAACTATAGAAAACGAATTTTTATTCATGTCTACGCTACCTAAAGTGGTATGAAAGTCGAATATGGTCAAAACTTTTATTTCTTACAGATTCAACACAATAACTTTTTCTTTTCTTTTCGTATATCCAAAGCATAAATACTTTGACCGAAAAGCATCAGAATGGTGCATTATTGGATTCCTCGGTGATTGTAATATCGAACCGTTTAGACGAAAAATACAATGTTACCTTTTGTCTCTTGAGAATATTGCCAATACAGAGAATGACAGAAGGCGCGAAAAGGCACAACAGTTGATTAAAGATTACAGACAGGCAAGTGTTTTGTGTGAAATTTTTGTTGAATTGCAGATAATAAGTGGCGTGGTAGAAGACCCTACGAGCTCCTCTATCATTCAAGTCCTATGAGCCGAGCCACAAAACTAGTGTTAGGGCATAGGTGACCCTACGAGCTTGCCTGTGTTCAAGTCCTACGAGCCGACCTGACACTAGCCCCCCAGAACACAGATGACCCTACGAGCTTGTCTGATGTTATGTCTGGTGGGATGAACATTAAAAGGAATGAATGAGAACAATGATATTACTAATTACCCAAATCTTCCATGCTAGGGGCAAGACTGTGACTTGGCAAGAGATTGGGAGAAAGAGCATGAATCAGCATAAATGATCGATGGATCTTTAGTTTACTTTCACCAACCAAAATTTATAAGCTGTGAAAATAACAACGGGAATATAGGAGAGAGTATAAGCGGAACCAATACATTTATGTTTACGAAAAGAGATCAGAAAGAGGTATATGTATGCATTTTTCAGCTAGAAGTTGAGAATCAGCACAACTGATTATTTTGTATTAATATTTTTGAACGGATAGATCATGCAAAATCATCTTACAAAACGGAAAAAAATAGACGATTATTTTCCCACATGCCAAAATCAACAACCACAAGATCTTGATGAACAACAACTTGGAAATTTTGAGGAAAAATATTGTTTTTTTGATAAAGAAAATCAATCAAATAAGGCAACTGTCATTAAGGATGTGGATAATGTTTTCAATGAAAAACTCAATCAGGTATGAAACACAGGTTTACTGCCAATTATGAATTATTATAATTCTTAAAGTGATGTTGAGTACATCATTCTTTTTCTTTTGCATTAGTCACAAAACAAATCAAAAAAACCTGTTAGCCAAGCACTATCATCATCAACTACTGCTACCTTTGTTGCTGCTTCAACTATTGCTAATACTGTAAGTTACCTTTTTTTTTCCAAATACTATCAAGTTTACTTACATCATATTTTGTCATAACAAATGACGTTATTAGGGTAGGAAAAAAATCAACATTGCACAAGAAATTTTCTTAGAGTTAAGAAGTTGGCAGATATACCCACTCATTAAGCCTTTTATTAAGCTTTCAATGTTAGATGCTGATGGGCTATACGATGAAATAGCTGGTGGTATCAATAATATAACAGCAAGTCTCCCTGATGATGTTAAGCAATATCTTGAGGAATTACTTGCAGGTGATATTGTAAATGCATTGAGAAAGTTGGATCAACCGCTTGCTGATAATCCAAGTCCACTATTATTATGGACTAGAGAAATTTCTCGTCATTTCATTCTTTATTACCATTATGGTGGTTTGCAAGTTGATTGTAATGAAAAAACATGGTCTGCTCAAACTATCTACCAACTACTAGACTTATTTTCGGTTTTTTTTAGCAAAATTGTATCAGGAAAAGAATTGTATGTATTATATATATTTTTTTCCTTTCATGATATTTTCTTTTATAACTTTATGTTTTTGTTGGTTATAGTGGTGAAATTGATAATGAGGCACATAATGATAGAGCATATAATATCAATTATGATCAAAAACCATCCAATAGTGGATGTGTCCCTAAGAATGATGCAGTTGTATATCAAGACAAGTCGGCAACTATTTTATACGAACAATCTTATAACTTAAAAGAATACACTCTGTCACATTATTTAGGAGACTTTTCTAAGCTTGCACATAATAGTGTCGATGATTTAAATTACCACTTTACACAATATGGTAATTGCACTACTACCACTGCAAAAACTTTTAAATCCATGAGTATTCACGGATATAGTAAGTATTTTAGTGTACATGATGTATGATTGTTTTATATACATACAGGGCTAAGTTTTTTCAATATTTTTAGAATATAATGTTTCGGTATATGTTACAGATATTATTTGTATTGAAACATATAGAATATATGAAGTATTAAGTTTTAGGATACCAATATCTTATTCTGAAAGATGGAATTTATTTCATATTGCAAAATTTGGTGCTCTTTTAGAGGTATTACATTATTATTTTTTAGCATAAAATATCTCATTTATGATTCGTTTATCAACTGTTCCATTATATATAGAAACTACTCACGGATCGGCAAGATGTAAAGGGGAAAATGTCAAAAGAAAATTTTTTAAATGATAATAATACCCATTGTGTGGACAGGTGGATAAAGATACCAGACAACACCCTCAAAACACAAAAGAAAAAACAAAATTTGTGAATACAAAGCTTTGAAAATTTTTTTATACAATAAAGATTGCTTATTCTTAAAATATATCTCTATTTTTTTTCGATATAAATAGTAAACATCATCATTTTTACTAGTGTTCCATGTCGCAATCCAAAAAAGGAAACAAAATGGTTGTAAAGGTGGTTGCAACCAGTGGTTGCAATTGTTTTTATATGACGCAAAGATGGTAGCAACCATCATCAAAAGTTGCAGCCGGTATCCTTACACATATATTTGAGCAAACTGAGGGTGAGCTTCATTGTCAGGAAGTATTGTGCCTATGCCATGATATATTTTACCATGAACACGAAAGCTGTAAATGCCACTTGTTCCTGTTATGCTATGATCAACCTTTGCACCCATAGATGTAAAAGCCAAAGCTGAATTATACGACCTAATATTTTTCCTAAATGAACGTGCACTTGGATCTGTTCTAGTAAGAAGAATGTTGAGAGGATATGGTAATTCCTCAATAGGAGGAAGAAAAACCTTGCCTTTGGCACAACATGTTGTGAAAACTGGTGATCGTGTGGATGTGCCTGTTCTTTCATCTATCCACAACAGCGCCCCACAACAATTACATCTATGATTCATGCTTCCCAGAGAGTGACGGTCTAAACCTTGCGAAGACCATGGATAAATACGTGCTTTTAATGTTTTTAGCGGAACAGTAGTCAGATGAATAACTACTTCTTGTTCAGCGCGGATAGTCACGTTATCTTCCGATATGAGTCTTCAGAATCCATATTTCTTTTGTTTTTATGATAATAACGTTGTTGTCGTTCACGATTAAGTCTTCGTTGACGTTCTTCAGAAGTTTCATCTATAGCGTTACTAACTTCATCTTGTATACGTATCCTCTTCTCTCCTGAGTGGTCAAGTCCCGTATTTCTTTTGTTTTTACGATAACGCTGTTGTCGTTCACGATTAAGTCTTCGTCGACGTTCTTCGGAAGTCTCATTTATAGTGTTACTTCTATCCATAGTATTATTTTATTTTCCCGTGTGTTATTTTTAGTTATTTTTAGTAATGGGTAAAAGTATGCAAACGCGTAATTTATTGTTTAAAAAAAAAAAAGTATGCAAACGTGTAATACGTATACTGTGTGAAATTTTATTGTGGAAATTTTATTGTATCACAATTTAAAAATCATTTACATGTGGTACGTAGTCTAAAAGTTACGCATCACAACATATTTATTTACGTGCTTGTGGTAGTCTAAACGTAATCCAACAATACAATAATAGATAGATTGCATGCGATAGTCTAAGACACTACACCTCACAACATATTTATTTGCGTGCTTGTGGTAACCCATCGATACAATAATAGGTAGATTGTGACACAAGTTTGCGTTGTTGAACAATTCTATTTATACGTGGCTGCCTAAAAGTTACGTTTATTTCACGCACAAACAGGACCACAAAATATAAACAACCATTTTAATAAATAAAAATAGAAATAATACAATGAATGAAGTACCGTTAAATTATTTATAATGAACACATTAAATTTTAGAACAATTCCAGTATTAATATCAACTCTCGCATACTACTATAATTATGAAGCTTCCCATTTTTTTGATAGTTTTTTTCCTTCTTATACAAATTATTTACATTCATGTTGTAATTTCTGGCATAATAAAAGCAGGACCTGCAACATTACCTGTCCTAAAAGATGCTTATTATGTATGTTTAAAAACTATTCCTAATAATAATAATAGTAATAATAATAACAATTCTAATATAATAATTGCCGAACACAAAGAATTTTTTAAAGAATTAAATCAAAAAGGTATAAATTTCACTGTTCGTCATGAATTCTTTGATTATGTTAACGGCATATCGTTGACATTGCCTGGTGGACTTGATAGCTTGAAAAAGGTTGCCGATATATCAGTTGTATCATATATTGAACCTGTAGTATGTATTTATATATATTATCTTGTATTGTATGTATGCATATATGTGTATAGTTAAGATTTTTTAATGTGAAAAAATTTGCATAGAATCTTAATCTAACACCCGCGCCTGGTTATGTTGATGATGATGAACTTGAAAAACGTGATTACATTACCAATGACACAATCCAATTTGCTCCTAATAATAATATAAATGAGATACATAAAGTCACTGGTGTTGATCGTGTACAAAATGAGTTTTTGAGTTTTGGAACTGGGATTAAAGTTGGAATTGTTGATTCAGGTAAAAAAAAAAAAAAAAATTTTTATTTTTTAAAAAAAAAAATAATTAATAATTATGATTTTGTTTAGGAATTGATTACAGGCATCCAGCACTTGGCGGCTGTTTTGGAACAGGATGTAGAGTGGCATATGGACATAATTTTGTTTTAGATTTAACCAACCTTAATGCTAGTGATCCACTTGATATTTGTAATGGTCATGGTACACATGTTGCTGGTTTGATAGGTGCTAATGACAGTCTAGTAACTGGATTTATGGGAGTTGCTCCTAATGTCACTTTTGGTGTTTATAGAGCCTTGAATTGTGTGGGTTCAGGGAGTGCTGACAATATAATGGCTGCATTAGAAGCAGCTGCAACTGATCAAATGGACATAATAAATTTATCTTTAGTAAGTTTACTTGTTTATCTTATAAATAAATGTAAATATTTATTGATTTTGTCATTTAACAAATTATTTGCTTATTATTAGGGAGGTGAAGGATGGGCAGAAACTTCAATGTCTGTTTTGGCAGATTCAATTGCAAATCGAGGAATCAATGTTATAGCTGCCAATGGTAATGAAGGAATTCGTGGTATCTGGGATTCTGGTATACCTGCAATTGGTTATGGCACCATTTCTGTTGCATCAATGGATGCTAAAAATTTTCTCGTTTACCGGGCAACTGATATTAAAGATTCTTCATTTATAATTGGTAAAAAAATTATGTTTTAAATAATATGATTTGAAAATGATATTATACTAATTCATGTGTTGTTTCTTTAATATAGATTATATTTCAAGTAGTGCTAGACCTTTTAATATTAATCAAGGAGAAACAGTAATCTTTGATAGTTCAAACAATTGTAAAGATGTCCCTGCTCAAACTTTAGCAGGAAAAGTAGTAATTCTAAATATTTATGCTGCAAAAATTAATCAATGTATTATATCACAACTGGTAATTAATTTCAAAATCAAAAATTTTTTTCTATAGCAAGAAATCAATTATTATTTATTAATTATTTAATATTTAATTTTGATTATTAAAAAAAAAAAATAGTATACAGATCTACAAATAGCTAAAGTTGTGGGTGCTCTTGTTATTAATAATCTAACTACAGGACCTGCCTTAGCTAGTCCACGTCAAGATGATGTTAAATATCCAGTTGCATATATTATATCAACTGAAGCTCAACTATTGTTAGACAGAGCAGTGACTAATAAACCATTGACTTTAGATTTTTCTGATAAAAAAGGTTATATTATAGAAAATAGTTTTGGTTCAGTAATTTCATATTTTAGTTCTTGGGGATTAACTCCTACTCTAGATATTAAGGTAAATATTGATAAATTTTAATTAATAATAAAATTTATATATATATAATTTACTAATATTACATATATATTTATGTATATGTTTATGTTTCTTTAATTAGCCAGTGAGTAAAATTTTAATTAAATTTTTTATTTTTTATTTTTAAAAAAAAAAAGTTTTTTAAAAAAAATATATTTATCATTTTTATTTTAATGAAATAGGAAATTGTTGCACCTGGTGGAGTAATGTTTTCTACATATCCTTTACCTCTTGGTAGTTATTCTTTAAATTCAGGAACAAGCATGGTAATTAAAACCTTTAAATATTTAATCGTCACCAATCAAATTTTAAAACCTCTAAACTTGTAAAATTTCTAAAATAAAACAGGCAACACCATATATAGCAGGATGTGTTGCATTATATTTATCAGCAACTGGTATAAAACAACCAACTTTAGATGTGAGAAATGCATTCATGAATTATGCTAGACCACTCAAATTTCCATCCGGAACTGTTGTCTCACCAGTTTTACAACAAGGCACAGGATTAGTCAATGTGTTTGATACAATATTAGGTAAAATATTGATATCACCATCAAAATTAACATTGAATGATACATTAAATGGAATTAGTAATAAGGAATTGAATTATATTGAAAAGAATTTAACTGTCAAAGGTTTAAGTGAGTATCAGGAAGTGTCATTTATAGTGATACATGAACCTTCTTACAGTTTAAATGGTTATAATGGCACAACAATATTGGAGAGTAAAGATTTGATTTACAGTAATGTGGTTGCTGATATTATAATTGAACCTAATATTTTCACAATTACAAATCAAACCAACCTCAATATCAATCTAAAAATTACGCCACCAACCATTCAAGATGCAGGTTTTTGGTTTTATAATGGTTTTATTAAATTTGTACCAAATATTACCAACTATAGCAACATCACGATTCCATATGGTAAATATATTTTATTATTATTATTATTATTATTACTTTAAAAATAAAAATTTAATTTGATTAAATAAACAATAAAAAACCGTTTTTCTAGCTGGTTTAGCAAGTCCAGCAAAAGATCTACCAATATTTCAAAGTCCTGAATTTCCTCAGATTCTAACTCCACAAGATGCAACATTAACACCAAACCATACATTTTCAATGACATTTGAAAATCATCCTGTATTAAGGACAGTATTTTCAACACCTAGTGCACTATGTTATGTAATTATATTTAGTTCAATAACAAACCAACCTTTAGGCATATTGACAAACAACGACAATACTTTTATTATAAGTGGTGAAAATAGATTTGTTGCAAAAACAAGAAAAATTCCATTATTTAGAAATTGGGCAGGTGATTATATAGAAGGAAGTTTTAGTGATAATGGAGAATTTGTTCCATCAACCACTGTTAGTAATGGTAAACAATTACCAAATGGTGATTATTATATACAATTTAGAGCTTTAAAATTATTCGGAGATACTAATGTTGGGGGTGATTGGGAGTACTGGAATTCTACTTATTTTAAAATTGAAAGAACCCTCTTCTGATTTTTTTTTTTTTTTTTAACATTCAATATTGTAATTTAATAATCGGGGAATACTCTAAACAAAATCAAACATTATAAAGATTCCAGCAAAATTTAGTTATCACCAATATAAATTTAAAAACTTTTATTATGAAAATGTAATTGATAATTCAACTAGAATAAAATTAAATTCATTAAATAATTTTTTTTATTAAAGGTCAAAAAATCGATTTCATTTTTGTAACGGAAATGTCAAATGCGGAATAATTTACTTCTACTTCTAAGGATTGTAATGTAGAATAGTTGGCAGTTTTTAAATCAAATATTTTAGTAAATATACCTTTCCAATAGGATTATATTCGAATAGTAACTATTTGTTTTATTCGTTATGAATTGAGTATTCGAATTACATCGAGTGTTATTCGAATGAAGTGAATAAAGCGAATAAGACGAATAAAGCGAATAAAAATTTAGAAAATCTGCTTTCCCGAAACAAGCACCTTGATCCGTACAATAGTCATCAATTTTTTCCTTATTCGTATTAATTGCATAGTTACGAAGTGTGGAGCATCTTGACTTCAACATCGTAAATAATAACTATTAAATTAAACTATGTGATGTGATTTTTTTAATTTCCTTCTATGAATAGAAGAAAATCACACAAAGATCCCTCTAATAAAGTAACGAACTTGGATTCCTTATTTTGGCCAACTTGCTTAACAAGAGCTGGTGCCATGATGTGCTTTTTGACTATATAAAGTTTTTGTAGCATGTCTTGTAAGTTTATCTCTATTTCCAATAAAAGAATGATAGGACTAGAGAAGAAAGAAATCAATCTCGTAGCCCAATTTCAGGGGAAACAGGTCATGCGATTGTTATTATAGATGATAAGGTTATAGAAAAATAAACAGCAACAGTAATTCCTAGTTCTCAGTAAATTTTGACTGAAGAATGTCAATCGTCAGTTGCCCAAAACTTGATACCGACATTGTTGATCAGCGCTTTGCACCTTTGCAGTAATAGCAAGAAGCATAATAATAAGATATTATTGTTATTGTTATTTAGTTCTATGGTGGTCATTTTAATACCCTAATACCTTTATCATGTTGCTTGGTAAATTGCAAATTAAATTCTTTATAAAGTTATCGATGATTGCATTGTGCAATATCTATTACGCATTATGCAACATTAATTTTCAATGCCGTTTATTTGCATAAAGTCTTTTATTACCACTTTTTTGATGTCAAAAAAGAGGGACGTTGTTCAATGCTAATTGACGCCTCTAAAAATTTCCTGATGACATATTTTTCAGAAGTTGATAGTGATCAAATTATTTTAGATGTCGTTGAACAACCCATCTACATCCGATGAAAATATGGAAGGTGATGAAGAGCTAAATTGGATTTGGTTAATTAATAAATAATATGTATATTAATTCTTATTATAAAAAATTATGATATTTGAATCAATAAAGACTGCAGTCTTGGACTGAACCATTGGTTCGTTTTCAGATTGTTTTTAAAACTGACAGTTTGGTCCATATTGATATGGACCGGACCAGGCTGGATCATTTAACATCTCTTCCATCATCAAAACCTGCCTGATCACATGAAATAACCTACGTATTTTTCAAAATTTTGTAACTACAAATTCTACAAATTAAGTTTATCAGGAAAATTTTTTTTATTTTGATTTAAACAATAAGTTTGAAGGACCATATATCCGACTCACCAATAACATCATGTCCATTATCTCATTTTTTAAATGTTTCCGGAGGATTAGCTTTATATAGGTCATTATCATGATGATTTATAAAAATATTGTAAACACGAATTTTATTATTGATTCTTTGTCTTGAAATTTAATCTTTGATGCTTTCTCTTCGAAAGGCAAAAATCTTGAAGATGATTCAGCAAATGAAGGCATCTGCCTATCGCCTATCCGAATTGCAGAAAATGGCGAGTCCGTGAAGTTTTTACATGACATTATTAAATTTATAGTTGTCCCGCAATATTTATTAGTCTTTCAGATCTTGTAAACAAGTTGAAATTCATTATTACCTTGGAAGCTTGTGTTTTATATTTGTTTAATATTAATATTAACTGTTATTAAATAATAAACATTTTAACACCTACCGTTCTTTTATATACTTCTAATCATCACATGTGATACTTCGCTGCCTTATAAAAAAATTATTGTTTTGTTTTTTTATTGCGCATATTTGTGCTGAATTAGTTCCATCCAGCTAATAATACGATATTGCATTCACTATGTTTACATGTTTAGAAAATGTTTCAGTGACAACAAATAGTAATTTTATTTTGTAAATATGTTAAAAGAAACATATATTAAGATGTAAAACGTGGATTTTTTTTGTACACAAATAACACAGAGAGCAATTATTTTCGAAATACACTGTATATGCATTTGGAGGGAAAAAATCATAATTCTTATTATAAATACTAAAAAATTTATTTGTTTTTTTCTTCTTTAAATAATTATTTTTATTTCTCCGAGAATCATCTTTAAGCATGCCAAACTCTTTTTACGATTTCAGTCATTCCCACATCAAGTGTATTAATCATGTAACAACCACTAAGCACCAACAATGTAGCACCTTTTAATCCCCACGTAGATACTTTGTTAAGTTTTGGTGATCTATGAGCTGGCAAATAATCTGTAATAATTGTATCAAATCCAATATGACAATGAATTGGTAAGATTATTCCTAGACAAAGATCTGTAATCGGATGTGCTCCATTTATAACTGAAGTGATTGTTAATGGAACTAATGATATCGAAAAAAATCTTTCAAAATTCCAGTGAAATGATCCAGATGCTTTATTCTTTGTTGGTAAAATTACTGCATCATTGATAGATACATTAATATAACCTATATACATATATATTAATCGAGGATAATAGTAATGATATTATTATGTAAATTAAGGTCTAAAATAAACTTACTGGCCCCATCTTTAGCAGATTTGGAATTTTGAAATAAATGGGTATGTCCTAAATAATAGAAATTATCATTGATGAAATTTGATGAAATTTGGTTTTAATCTTTTAATCTATTATAAGAATCAATTAAATGCATTACTTATTACCTGAATGAAAGGCAACAACTCTAACAGGGGATGATAACACTTGAAAAGAATATTTAGAACGAAAGGATTTAGGGGTCGTATGATTAATAAATCTAAAAGTCGTCACTGAATTTTTAAAAAAAGTGTTGACGTTTGTGACACTATTGCTTGTACAGTAACTTTTGCCTCAATTCCCTTTGTTACAACCATCTTTGAATTAAGGTGTTACTGTCTTTACAAGTTCAAAAAATAATAAAATCATATTATTCATTTTTTTAATTTTAGGATAAGTAATTATTAAATTTTTTTGGATATAATAAAGAAGAAATAAGCTAAAACATTATTATTATCAACAAAGTTCAAATTCTTAGCAAATGTATAACAAAGTTAGCGAATGTACAAGTTAAACTTGCGGAATGACTTTTTAAAATTGCCGCGTATATTGGAAATTCCGCAGCAGTCTATATTTTTATTTTTTTTTGTATCACAAATTTTTTTTTTTTTTTTTTTTTTTTTTGAATTAAAAAAAAAAAGATGAATCGCATAAACGTAAGTAACCATAAAAACCAAAAAAACCAAAACAGAAGGCTAAATATAAAACATGAGTAAGTATCATCATAACTGTTATTTCGTTTAATTCAAGCTTTAGTTTAATTTATAAATTCACAAATTCAAAAATTTTATCTTCTTTCAAGCAATCCACAATTAGAAAACGTAAATTCATTACTTAACAACCTTATTAGCTCCAACAAGGATGCCTTACCACTAAAATATATTAGCAAACTTGTAAATTATTTAACAAATTTGTTAAATGAAGCTGATTTTTGTGATGTAAAAATCAAAGTTGGAGAAGACTCAAATGTGAAAGTTTTTAAAGCTCGTTCTGCCATTTTAAAAACAAGATCTTTGTATTTTAAAACTGTTCTGTCAAATAATTGGATTAAAAAATTTGGTGGTGGTGTTATTTCATTTGAGAAAAAAATCATTTCTTCAAATGTATTCAAAGTCATTTTAACGTAAGAATTATATTTATTTATTTATTCGTTCATTCACCTAATTTTAATTTTATTGATAATAATTTTTTGTAAAATTTTATAATTTTGTTTTTTAAAGATATATTTACAATGGAATATCGAATCTAAATAATTTGAACCCAAATGAAATTCTTGAACTTCTTGAAGCATGTGATGAATTAAATTTTAATGAATTAATCGAGGATATACAAAACTATTTAATGGTTGAAGGAAATGAACGGATCAAGCAAAATTTAATTTATGTTTATACATTTTCATCACAACATCAATTATCGTTTAGTAGTATGCTTCAAAATAATTGTAACGAATTAATTTGTGGAAACCCTGAATTGGTTTTTTTCAATTCTGATGATGATGGTGGTTATAAGGCAATTGAAAAATCAACAATGTTGTTTGTGGTAAAAAGTGATTATTTCAAAGTTGAAAAAGAAATTGGTGCCTGGGATCATACAAAACTATTTAATGGTTGAAGGAAATGAACGGATCAAGCAAAATTTAATTTATGTTTATACATTTTCATCACAACATCAATTATCGTTTAGTAGTATGCTTCAAAATAATTGTAACGAATTAATTTGTGGAAACCCTGAATTGGTTTTTTTCAATTCTGATGATGATGGTGGTTATAAGGCAATTGAAAAATCAACAATGTTGTTTGTGGTAAAAAGTGATTATTTCAAAGTTGAAAAAGAAATTGGTGCCTGGGATCATGCTATTCAATGGGGAATTGGACAAATAGAAAATTTGGAAGAAGCAAAAAAGGAGGGAAAAAAAGAAAAATCCATTGAGTTGGGCCGGTATTCACCAGTAAATAAAAAACCAAAATTAGTCAAACTGGAAGAAAGTATTTCAGAATGGAATGAAGATAGTGTAATTGAATTGAAAACAAATTTGGAGGAGATTATTCCACTAATCAGGTTTAATATAATTCCTTCACACGATTTCAATGAAAAAATCAAACCTTATAAAGAAATTATTGATAAGGAAGTTTATGAAGAACTAATTCAATACTATCATCACAATGATGAATGGAAACCAAAGTTATTAATTCAAAAAAGTCCAAGAATTGGAAAATTATTGAACTTAAAAATAAGTTCATTAATTTCTAATTGGATTGATGAAAAACAACAATTTAAATTTGAACTAGTTCTTGGTATTTCTCAAGATGGATGTGGAAGATTAACATTTGAGAAAAAATGTTATGATATTCCACAAACTATGACAATCAGAAATTTATAGAAACAGTGAATTAGTAGGTGGTTATAATCCAGTTTGTTGGAATATAAAAGAAAGATATCACAATTCTTATTACACTATTGAAACAGATAAAGCTTTATTTTTAAAATCAACTTAGTAATTTAATATTAAGTAGAGTTGTAGAT